CGCCTTCCGTCCACTAATACCCTTCACTCTAAGTATCGCCCGGCTCTAGACGAACTATCTGACATATGATGAGTTGTGTGTGCAGAGTGACACAATTATCCTAGGTGATCTCAACTCGGATATATGTAAGTGTCTAATGTTACCACGCGACAAACTTCTGTCTCACTTTGTTAGCACTGCTTATTTAGTGAATACTATTCAAGCCATTAGCTCATATACTTTCAGGAGCAAAGATAACATAAACAAATCTCTGATTGATTATATCCTGATTCCTTCGCATTTGCAGAGTAACGTTAGCTCAAGTGAAGTGCTATTCACTAGTTATGATGTATCCGATCATTTCCCATGTGTAGCTACCATACAAGTAGATGTAAATGATAATGTAAAGCAAAAGGTTAAAGAAACATGTTTTGTTAAATGGGACAAAGCTTCAAATATTGAGATCTCTTCGTACAAGGTCTGTCTTGATACATTGCTAAACAATGCTGAGACTTGTTTATCAATAGATACACGTGATGATATTGAATCATTTAATACGGGGATCAGTAAATGTATGATTGATGCCAGTAGACAGTCTATACCAGTAGGTAGTTTCAAGGCTCATCTAAAGCCTTACTGGAAACAGGATGGGCTACACCAAGACCATTATAACATGCGAGTTGCAAGGCGGAGATGGTTATCCGAGGATAAACCAAGGGGGGATAATTTCCATTCTTATACATCATACAAGCAAGCTAAGCGAGAATTCCGACGTCGTCACAGACAGTCAAAGCAGGCCTATTCAAAGAAATTTTGTTTGGAATTAGAAAAAAACTTGTGATACTGATGTGAATACGTTTTATAAATCTGTGAGAAAACTACGTAATTATAAGCAGAAGATCGGAGTTGAAAAACATACATATGATGACCGTAAAGTAACAACCCCCACTGACATATTTCGGCTTTTGGGTAGGTACTATGCGGATCTAGCGAAACCATATGACTCCGACCAGTTCGATCAAGACTTTAAAGAAGGTATTGACTATGAAATTGAGAAATTAGCCTCCAGAAATGAATCTAACTCATGTGTTGATAATGTACTATGTGCCGAAATATCGGTTCAGGAAGATAGATAGATAGATCATCTTTATTTCCTTCATATTGATGAAGATACATTGATATGAGATATTACGGTGTTCTACAAATATATATATATATATATATATATATATATATATATATATATATACCTTCCTCCTTCCTATATATAACACCTAACGTGGACATCCCGAAATGCCTGTAATTTTCCCGATATGTTGCAGTTTGGCTTTAGGAAGGAGCACGGTGCTGTTCTGTCGCAATTTACCCTCATCGAATGTGTACAAAGCTATGTAAACAGGGGATCATGTATTTACACAGCATTTCTAGATAAGCTTTTGATCGAATATGGCACTCGGGTCTCTTTGTAAAACTCTATATATTTATCATCTTGGTATAAGGGGTAGAATGTGGTCTCTGTTACATCACTGTTATACTTCCATGTATGCGTGTGTTCAGTATAAGAGGGAACAAGCTGATGCATTTGCTGTTAGACAAGGTATAGGTCAGGGCTATGTTATCTCAGCTTGGCTTTTTCTTGTGTACATATATGACCTCATAACTGAGCTTCGGCAGTTAGATACAGGAATATGTATATATAATGTTAGTTTACCATGCGTGTTACTTGCTGATGATACTACTCTTATCAGTTACAGCCCTAAATGTCTGCAAACAGCCTTAGATACAGTTGTTAATTACGCTTCCAAATGGCGATTAACCTATAATGCATTGAAAATTAAAATTGTTGTGTTTCATAAAAAGAAGCAATTATTGTGTACGAATGCTTATCACTTTGGGGACTATGACATACCTATGTTTGATAATGTACAATATGCGGGTATTGTTCTACAAAGTAATCCTTCTTTCAAATTATGTATTGAAGAGAGCTGCACAAAAGCAAGGCGTACTATTAATTCTCTCCTCTCTGTTGGTCTAAATAGTAGTGACTTACATCAGTATGCAAGTATTGAGATCTGGAAAAGAATGATTTTAACAACAAGTTTTTATGGATGTGAATTACTACCTCCTCTGCATGGTAAAGATCTTGAATTAGCTGAAAGCACCCAGCGTTACTTTGCAAGGATTGTACAAGGTTTTGACAAACGTTGCCCCACTGATGCCACTATTGCTAATCTAGGACTTTGGAGCATGGTTGGCTATATAGATAAATGTAGACTACAGCTGCTGGGGCATCTCTGCAACAACTCATGTGTCTCAATTTGTAAAACTGTTTTCTGTGCATCAACTTCACTCTATTTCTTTCATAACAATAATTTACACAGTTTATGTGGAGTGTTGCTTTCAACAGCCAAGAAATATAACCTACTTCATCATGTATTTCACTACGTTCGAACAGGGGAAATCCCCTCGAAGACTAAGTGGAGAAAGATTGCGTTAAATGAAATATCTACCCACGAGGAAGAAGTATGGAAATATATACTATGATGTAGAGCTGACCTCGATATTCTAAAATTCACACAACACTTACTCCTCATGTGTTATACAGCATTGTAATGTTATATCCAGAATTGAGAGAAGAAATACAGTATGTAATAAGGATTGGTTCCAGAAGCAAAATATCAAAATAATGTACAAAATGTAATACTTTTGCTCATGATTTTTATCACCATGTCATCTTAAACTGTGAATGTCGATCTACTTTCAGAGAGAGATTTATTCTTTTTAACTCTAATTGATAATCTCGATGTTGAAATGTATGTTAAAATAGAGATGATGGAAGATAGCATTCTTTCTTGGTGCAGACAACAATGACACTGATGAAGTAACGTGGCATTTCACAATTATTGAATTTTCAAAGTATGTATATCAAATTAAACATATCCTAAACAACGTGTGGTACTCTTACCAATATTTCTCACTGTTTCTAGCCTGTAAATGTGCGGGACAATGATATGTATGTATGTGTGTATATATGTTTGATTATTGTGCTATTTGATTATTTAATTACATAATCTTGATGTTTTGAGATTCTTCGAATTTATCTGGAGGAAATAAAGACATTCATTCATTCATTCATTCATTCATGCCCTTTGATACTAAAGCGAGTCTCCAAGTCAGAGTGAGAGAGTTGGGTTTAACGCCGCGTTTAACAGTATTCCAGTTATATCACGGCGTGTCAACTTGATGCGGGGGAACGCCCGAGGTGATGCAGGTCTTAGAAGTTTACCTCTTCGATGAAACCCACGAGCACGGGTATGGTGCTGACAAACTAGAAGCATAATGTGGGGGAACCGGGATTCGAACCCACAATCATAGGTTTCTAGCGTGCCCAAGAGATGCAACTCTGCACAGCGAATTGCGGCGCCTTGGGCGACTGGGCCACCCGTGCCCCCTTCCAAGTCAGAATGAGCATTTACACTCTCAGTGTTCTGATTGCTAAAAGATCACACAGGATGGCGTTGACACGTTGACCCACTTCTGGGAGGTTTAGCCTTAGAAAATATAATAACAAATGTATCACTTTCACACTGCCCAGACACCATGGATGTATTGAAAGTACATGAAAATATGACAGCAAATCGAGTTTGTCCGTTCTACCAAGACTTCAGGGAGGGTCATGCGACTTTTGTTCAGAGGTTGTTTGATCAAGGTTAAACATACAAGGCCTCAGTGAAGCCATCAAGAAGTTCTGTGGTAGACATGTGGGGGCTGTTTCCGGACTGTTTTGGCTTGTGCCGTGTGTTCCCGTGCTTTTTCGGGTGAGCAGTTGGCTTGCCTTTGCATGTGTTTGTGACGGATGCCACCGGTGGGGCAGGATGCGCTCACCTTTTCGCGAACACCTGGCATCATTACTATTTGATAGTGATTCATACACACATGCTCATGACATTGTCGGAATCGTATTTCTATTGGACATGGAAAGGGTTTTGTCGATTTATTCCCGTGTGGGGATTAAACATTACAAGGGAGGAAAAGGGAAAGATATCCTTTATTTGCCTTTGCATGTGTTTATGAGGGTGTTATCTGTGAGGCAAGAATGCTCACCCTCTCGCGAACACCTATTAACATTATAATCACGATAATGCATAAGTATTATTACAAAAGGCTCCTTTGACAAGATGACATTATCTGGTTTCCTTGACATACATCATATGCTTCTTGAGTTATTGTTAAAACGAGCCTTACTTCATGTCTGTGACATCGAGGATGAGCTTTATAAGATTGTTGAAGTTCCCTGATCTAAAAAGGAAATGTACATGATTTCTGAAGATCCGGGAAAGAATAGGGCTTCAGCAACCCATGCTTGCCATAAAAGGCAACTATGCTTGTCGTAGGAGGCGACTAACGGGATCGGGTGGTCAGGCTCGCTGACTTGGTTGATGCATGTCATCGTATCCCAGTTGCGTGGATTGATGCTCAAGATATCAATCTCTGGATTGTCTAGCCCAGACTCGATCATCCTATAGCTAGAATATTGCCGAGTGCGGCGTTAAACAACAAACAAAACTGTAGAATGAGCGAGTGAGTATAAAAATTGAACCACCAACTACCACGGAAAGATTTCCACTTTTATGATCATTAGCGATTTTATCGTCATCTTGCTGACCTTTCTTGCAATGAAATAATATTTGCCATTAGGATTTTTTATACATTAAACTTTGGAGGAACAGATGGTGAATTACATTCATCTCCGCTTCATCAACCACAAGAGCAAGTATGATACTGTACACAGTGCGTCGCACAGCACACCTCAGAAAATTGTTCCTGACCTAGCGAGTGAGGCCGGTTTGCGAGATCATCATACAAACCACACACTTCGATCCACTGCAGCAACTGTCCTCCACCAGACGAGTGTGGACGAGAAAATTATAATTGGTCAAACCGGGCATCTCAAAATGACTATCAACAATAGCATTACTTCACATTTTGGATTGCAGAAATACAAACTACAAAACAAAACCTGTGTATTCCATGTCACTGTTTATTGAGCAGCATTTGTAACAAATATATAACAATGTCATTCAAACATTACAGTACATTATAGTCATTCTGTGAATTGCTACTGCTGGGGTCAAGAGTTGCCAGTATGTAAGTAATTCCACTGGGTGTTGGGGGTGGGGGGAGTCGCATTTCTGGCTAGGGACCGGACCGTCGGTCGCATTCATTTCAAGAGTTACAGGTATTTCAAGTATGTCCCAGGTAGTCCCCTTCCCCGAAATTCATATATGTTTCATCACAGTGTCTGAACTTTGGTCTCCCATTGATTTGGTTTCCCAGTTGCCCCGGTAAATTTTCGAAATGGGACAGCGCGATAACACACATTTGTTCTCGGGGTAGATATAATGTTAACAGAGAGCATTATCAGATAGCTTTGCATGTTTTATGCATGCACCAGGTTGTTGATGTGATCGCCTATCAGTTTTGCTCCATTACAAGAGACGAATTGTTGATATTAATACCATGACTGTAATTTACTGTGGTAATGACATTCGAATACACGTATGCTGTTTACTACTGTTTTCTTATGTTTAAATTCCCCAGGAGCATATTAAAGTGAACAAAAAAACTTCAATTTATCCCCGCTTCTAAAGTTAGGGTTTACTTTATCGTCTTTGTGAAAATTGGAAGCTGATTGTTGAAAATAAGCATGTCAACAAGGATATATAAATATTACATTCAACTAGGCCAACATGAATATCATTTGAAACAAACATATGTGTTTGGACATACACAAACTATATCATTAATTGTTTATTCCACCACATTTGCCATAAACTATAAGACTTTAAGACAAACACAAGATATCTAAATATAAAATTCCAATGATGTACTTCTAAAACTAAAAAAAAAACCAGTATATATTTATCTCTCGATATACTATCAATAACGTATCGTTGTATCCAACCATAAGCACATACTCATATACATGCGTTCCGCAGCCTAAATTATGAAGAAACCTCATAATAAAAAGAAAGTTTGACATTTATGTCCTTTACATCCGGCGTTGGAATGTTACTCCATATTAAACTGGAACTTTTGGCCAGTTAGTGGATTATCAAAACAAATTCTAGATTTTCAGAACAACATAATATAGTCTCACTTTCTGTTTACTTTTGTCATACTTTAATCTCTTAAAAGGGTACATGTATATGAGCCTATTATGACATGTAAGCGGTAAGCTGAAAGTCCAAATGCATGATCGAGGTTCTGTAATATGTTTTAAAGCTGCCCAGGCAATCTTGAACATTGTTGGTTCTTGTTTCATTTGTTCTAATATGTTTACATTATCTAAGTTATGAGGAGCGGGATATACCTTTGCTTTTTCGTCATAAGAAGATGATCTGGTTTAATCTTCTTTCAAAGACGCTTTCTTCATAGCAGTATTGAGTAGGTCAAACTTCAGAAGCAGTTAGTGAGTAAGTATGTCCTCTTGCTACCAGAATATGTGTGTATTCCATATTCAATTGACAATACCATAACCATACAACAAGCAGAACAAACTACACATCTGTACAATCTGTTAATATGGACATTAAATCATTACGGTAATTATCACAATGTGAAGCAAACCGCCAAATGGATAAGAGTAAAAGAACATATTCGAAGTTTTCTATCCATTTAAAAAACCTAGCAAGAAATTATTTGGAACTTATTGTTCACAACTTATTTTACAGATCAGTGCAAAACAACATGCAATAAATCAATCAGATTTCAGATTTGATACTGTGTTATAAGAAACCCATAAAAAAAAACGCATCTGTTTCAAGCAAATATTCATAAGCTAATCAACATCGTCCTTGTAGTCAACCGAAACCAATATGAAAATTGTTGGTTAAAATTCACGAGTAACTAGATGCCTTCCTGGATATTTCATTGTTGTTAAAATCTTTGTGTAATTTCGCAACTGTATGAACTTATCTGTATACTGATCATGATGATGTTAATTGTCAAACAGTCTGAATGAAGCATGGTTCATGTTAACATAATCCCATAAACTATATTCAAATATGTAGAGCATAATCATATGTGGACCTGTGACATGCACATTAACAGCTGGAATCACTGTATTGCAGTGGAGAATATATCCCCGGTGCTTGCTGTTCGAACTGGTTAAATGGATCGGGTGTTCAGGCTAGGTGACATGGGGGATTGCGTGTCGTCGAATCTGGGGGCATTGATGATATATATCATTGGTTTGTGAGAAATAAAGGTTATAACTATGTTTTTATTATCAATACTTTTGATGATGCATGTCAAGTTAAAAACACCTCTAAAACCAAAACATTCCAAACGGAAGTGGAACGAGTTGCAGTGTATTGATAATTAGCTAAGTAAATACATTTGGTTAGATTGTAATGGTTATGATAGTAGACACAAATTCAAACAATAGATGGTCACATTCTTCACACTGTTTCCCTGTTCTTCTTTACTTCCGAACAGTGATGAGGTACTTGGGATAGGCCTGGACGTCGTTGAACACCACGAACATACGGGGATTATCCACGTTGTTCACCAAACTGTTGTACAGGACATTTGGGTCTTCGAGGCCTCTAGGCGGGGGAGCTACCATGTCATGTTTTCCTTCAGTGAAGTGTCCAGTGAGGACGGATGCGTAATAGAGGTGCTTGATACCATCTTCATTTGGAAGACAGGAACTGGAGGTGGTGTAGCTGGGACTGACAGCAAAATATGTCCCCTTTCCATAGAGATGGACTGTAATAAAATGTATATGACTGTTTATAAACCACTTTATAGCATAAACTAGTATAAAATCAGAACTGAAGAGTTGGTGAGTTTTAAGGGAATTTTGTTATTACCAAATATTGCTGAATGTTTAGAAAATACAGTCGACAAAAATCTTTCAACAATCATAAGAAATCTCTGCTGAAGGGAGAAACCATTGTACGAATCCGAATATACTGTAAATATATAATATGAATCGCTACCAAATAGTGATGATACAAGGTGTTCACAAAAAAAGGTGAGCAAAGGTGGCACAAGTCAAAATAAGGAATTGCATGCACCAGACATCATATTTACCATTGATGCGTCACATTTAGAAATATCCTCCGCTCGTGTTCCATGAGTGTTTTGGAACGCTTTAATAAGGTCTCATTAAACAACTTTTCAAACAGTTCTCACAGTCCTCAAAAGTTGTGAAATGTGGACACACAAGGCTGTGACTGTTTTTGTCAACATTGACAAAATGAAAATTAAAAGACATCCCTCTTTTCGTACAGTCTTGTGGACAATATACTGTCACACTGAATCTTAATGCATAGATCTAAATATGAAACGGAGAGACGGTTTCACTGTCCTCTTATATTTCTAGTTCAGGTGGGTCAATCAGTGAAAGGAGTTTTTTTCCTTCATTGAACGACATCAGATCATCGATATGCCTGAAGTTCAAGTTAAACTAAATCCTGTTTTGATTCAGCAGAAATTTCGAAAGCAGTGCCCACTTAACTGGACAAGACATTTTAAAAGCAAGTCTCCATTCTATATCAAGGGAAGGCACATGGTGAGTGACAAATTTACTCCACATCATACATTTCCAAGAAATGATGTATTCAAACAGTGCAAATATGCAACAGGCTGCGATGAAATCAAAACATATATCTTGGATTCCATTCGGAGGATTATTTGTCTACTTTCGTTTTGAAAAGTTATGTGTTTTGATGAATTTACCAACACCATGAGTATTTCAATCTAGAGCTTATAACTACCCGTGACCCCATTATTGAATGTTCTAAGATAGCTGACCTTTGTACCTGTGTAATCACGCGTTCGAAGAGAGCACCATTTTCAAAGAGATCTTCCCGTCAGGTAGAATGGAGATGAACATAGTGTGTTTTGAAATCTGATATAGTCCCAACGAAGAGAAGATACCTCTTATTAATACATTTGAAACCTCGCGCTAAAGCATTGTATTGTATAAATGCAGAAATCCGTTGCTGTGAGGCACGTGGGGAATACACTTTTTATGAGGTACAGTGGATAATCAAATTTCTCTATGATGTTCATTACAGTTTTAATTCTCGTTCAGACACCCATACAATGGCTAGTGTTTACTTTTTTTATTCACAAAATGTATACGAATTAGATAATTAGCAGTTTTTGCCGTTATGAAAGTTATGAAAGTGTGCATGTATATCAATTCTCACCAACAACTGAACATCCACAAACATTCAGCTGGTGAAAATTATGAAAATATAATGTTTGCATGATTTTAAACGGGTGTTTCTTTTCTTTTAAATCTATGTTGAACTTATAATATGAATCGCTACCAAATAGTGATGATACAAGGTGTTCACAAAAAAAGGTGAGCAAAGGTGACACAAGTCAAAATAAGGAATTGCATGCACCAGACATCATATTTACCATTGATGCGTCACATTTAGAAATATCCTCCGCTCGTGTTCCATGAGTGTTTTGGAACGCTTTAATAAGGCCTCATTAAACAACTTTTCAAACAGTTCTCACAGTCCTCAAAAGTTGTGAAATGTGGACACACAAGGCTGTGACTGTTTTTGTCAACATTGACAAAATGAAAATTAAAAGACATCCCTCTTTTCGTACAGTCTTGTGGACAATATACTGTCACACTGAATCTTAATGCATAGATCTAAATATGAAACGGAGAGACGGTTTCACTGTCCTCTTATATTTCTAGTTCAGGTGGGTCAATCAGTGAAAGGAGTTTTTTTCCTTCATTGAACGACATCAGATCATCGATATGCCTGAAGTTCAAGTTAAACTAAATCCTGTTTTGATTCAGCAGAAATTTCGAAAGCAGTGCCCACTTAACTGGACAAGACATTTTAAAAGCAAGTCTCCATTCTATATCAAGGGAAGGCACATGGTGAGTGACAAATTGACGCCACATCATACATTTCCAAGAAATGATGTATTCAAACAGTGCAAATATGCAACAGGCTGCAATGAAATCAAAACATATATCTTGGATTCCATTCGGAGGATTATTTGTCTACTTTCGTTTTGAAAAGTTATGTGTTTTGATCAATTTGCCAACACCATGAGTATTTCAATCTAGAGCTTATAACTACCCGTGACCCCATTATTGAATGTTCTAAGATAGCTGACCTTTGTACCTGTGTAATCACGCGTTCGAAGAGAGCACCATTTTCAAAGAGCTCTTCCCGTCAGGTAGAATGGAGATGAACATAGTGTGTTTTGAAATCTGATATAGTCCCAACGAAGAGAAGATACCTCTTATTAATACTTTTGAAACCTCGTGCTAAAGCATTGTATTGTATAAATGCAGAAATCCGTTGCTGTGAGGCACGTGGGGAATATACTTTTTATGAGGTACAGTGGATAATCGAATTTCTCTATGTTGTTCATTACAGTATTAATTCTCGTTCAGACACCCATACAATGGCTAGTGTTTACTTTTTTTATTCACAAAATGTATACGAATTAGATAATTAGCAGTTTTTGCGGTTATGAAAGTTATGAAAGTGTGCATGTATATCAATTCTCACCAACAACTGAACATCGGCAAACATTCAGCTGGTGAAAATTATGAAAATATAATGTTTGCATGATTTTAAACGGGTTTGTCTCTTGTCTTTTAAGTCTATGTTGAACTTGAATTGTTGCATATTGATGCATTCAGTTTTAATATAGGTACCTTTTACATAGCTGCGACTGAAACCATGGATATTGATACTGGTCACAGCATCTTCATTTGTTCCGTGCCATAGGTGTCTCTCAACATCCATACCCGGGTTCTGTGTTGCCATCTGGTGCAGGAGCATCACATACTGGGTATACAGTGTGCGGTTCTGGATTCTCTTGATCTGCAATATAGAGGCGTCAAATTGCTTACATCCCAATGCGATACTTTTAACACCTACTTTGGAGTTAATTGCAAGAGCGACTATGTTTGCGAAAAGCATGTACTCCGCTGTGAAAGTGGATAAAGAACATTGAGGATAGAGAATCACTGTCCTATTAAGGTCTAGCACAGCAAGCATGCATCTCCTAATCTGGAAGGAATGTAACATATTACATCTCTATTTATGTAACCAGAGATGAAAGCTTTCTAGTTTTAGTTGTTCAATTATTGTAAGGGAATAAATGGCGTTTCATGACATAGTTACAAATATTCAACCTACATCCTGAAAACAGATCCTGGGCAGGGCATATCGGATGTATGCAGCATGAGCGAAGATTCCAGAACATTATAACTGCCTCTCCTTTGCCATTCGACTATCATGGATGGCTGGAGGCCACTCAGTGTGATGTTACTATGTGTGCGCATGTACAGTAGAACACGAATATAACGAACACGGATATAGCGAACACAACAAACTGTTAAAAAATCCCCGATTTATCTCCTATATAATATCATATAAAATTTACGTATATAACGAACTCTATAGCGAACTAACGGATACAGCGAACTGATACCTGATCACCGACAAGCCCATTTATCACTTATTAGCGACGTGTATAGCGAACTGAGAAATCTCACTCAGTGTTAAGTGTCACTGACAATTGGCTGTATGCAATCAGCGGCGAATCAAAACAATGGCGGCGAATCAATACAATCAGTGGTGACGGATCAACCTTGTTAAATTTGCATTGTGTTAATCTTACCTGCACATGTAATCTTGTCTGTAAAACAAACAGTTTTTGACAGTTTGGCGGATCTGAACGTTGCCGTTTCAAGAATGCAGTCAGCGAAACGAGGCCAAAGTAAAATCACAGACTACACATTTCGTATGTAAATCGAAAAATGATAAATATGTTTAAATTTTGTACATGTCTTTGATAACAATCTTCTGAAAATGATATGAATTTAATGTTCTTAAATGAATGTTGTAAATTGATATCAGTTGAATGATCACTGCTAATACAAATCAATGCTGCAGTTACGTGTGTATTGTGTTTTGTCTTATCCAAGATGGCGGACGTTTCCGAGCGAAAACGTGTATAACGAACAACAGATATAACAAACTGATTTCTCTGGTCCCTAGTAGTTCGTTATATCCGAGTTCTACTGTATTTCTAAACTTACAGAGATGCCATTAATGTGGAAAAGTAAATAACGTTTCTTTTTAAGCTTATTGGAGGTTTGAAACTTTAAGGCAATAGGTTCTTTGTGCCACTGTCTAAAGGAACGAATCTTGCAGATTTGAGTCTCTAAATCAACATGAATGTGCTTCCCCAAGCAATAATACATCAGACTGAAGTGAGTAGTGAGTTGGGTGGAACGCCACTTTGAACAACACAGTTATATCCCAGCATGTCAGCTTGACGTGGGATGAAAGTGATGGATGTTTCTGACGTATAAACTTTAGCAATTTACAAACAAACAAAGAATAATAATCAGCAAAAACTGGGATTCGAACCCACGATCATATGTTGTCCAGTTTTAAGACATGGTTCGCATGTGATATTAACATCAAAAAGAGAAAAGGTGCTAACAGCAATGCGTCACATGATCTCAGTTGACATAAGCTACGAAAACCTTACCTCGACAATGGTATATCGATTCTTCACGCCTGTATTGAACTGTCTAGCAACCAACTTGTATTCTTTATCTTCAGGTTTAAGCTGTACTTCGCTCACAAACTGTTCCTCAGTCATTGGACTCCAGTGTGCAGGCAGCTGGATGTGCCCAGCCATGTCCACGGCTACAGCAGAGAAAGCAAAATCTGTATAACTCATCAGATCTAGCAACGATTAAATACCGTATTTACTAGTGAGCATACTTTGAGAAACGTCAGAGAGTTTGATTGCATGATTTTCACGAATAAACGAATCCAACGTATCGTAGTATCGACTCGATCCGTGTCGAGACTGACAGCGAGAGTCCACAGCAATCTATTTGACACATATTTATAATCACGGCCAATTGATCAATGACGGCTAACAAGTGTAACCGCCACAGGTTCATTAACAACTTCGGAAATCTCTCCTGTCACGTTTATCTTTTCGGACATTTTGACGTCTTGTACTTGATGTAGATGTATTACGACACGCTTTCATTCTGTCTGACTTACTGGGGTCGTTCTTAACAGACTGTTCTCCTCAAGTAGAGCAAGTAACATGCAAACGCTTATGCCACCGGCAAGCTCCGACGTTCATACAGGTTTGCCCTCTCTCTATGATTGTTCCCACTCTAATGAACTCACGGCAAAGCCAGTGAATGGGGGTTTATAGTAGATTTATGAGGCGCTTCCTTCAGTATTTGTACTCAAGTCAAATTGTACTCAATATTTTTTACTAAAATCAAGTAATACCACCAAGCGGTGGGTGGTGCTTTCAGTATGCAACCCAGAAAAAAATGAGGTACATATAGTATCTTACTTCATGCAAACTTTCAATAGTTTATGTGGAGAACCTTACAAGATATGATCTTTAAAGTAAAATTTCGGTGAATTTTTTTATCAAAATCAAAATCCAATATGGCCGCAACAAAAAAAGATATCGAAAAACGGCTCTGCTCATTTGTTGTGTTCCGTATGGAGACCATTCTCAGAAAGTTTGAAAGCATTTCATGCAGTGGATTCAGAGGAGATAGTATTTGAAGACAGCTACCCAAAAAACCCTGTGAAAACCTTGAATCCAATATGGCTGCCAAACCACGTGATCAATGACCAAAGTTAAAGAACAAAAAATATCAAAGAACTGAAGCAGCAGATACATGCAAAGTTAATAAGTACACGGACAAACGGTTGTGGAGCAGCAGGGCAAAATGTATCGTCAAAAAATACTTGTTTTTTCAGTTATCTGCCCTTGGCCTTTGGGCCTACGGCCTTGGCTTTTTGGCCGGCACTAGTACCCAACAGTCTACAAACACACCCAAAAATTAAACAAAATCGAGCCAGTGGTTATTTTGCTAGGGCAGGTACAAAAATCGGCGGAATAATAAATAATAAATAATAATAATAATAATAATAATGAAAGCTGCAAGCAGCAATGGCGGGCTCCAAGTAACACTGTGCCCAAATGTCCATGTTCGAATCCTCAAAGGGTTTCCTTGAACCAAATCCGTCAAATGTAGGCACCACTTGCAGGGTATCGTCCCATGGAAATTGGCGTGTTCCAGGGTGTCCAGGTCTTTTCTAAAACCATGTCCGACCTCGAACATGTTCGAATCCATTAAAGGTTTGCTTGTGCCAACTCTGTCAAAAGATAGTCACCGGAAATCGCCGCTACGAAATTGGTGTGTTCCGGGGGTGTCCCAAATATAAATCAAATATTACCACCAAGCAGTGTTACTTTTAGCATACAACCAATAACAATAAATGAGATGCATATGGCGCACTAACTTCATGTAAACTTGCAATAGTTTCTGTGTAGAACCTAACAAGATATGATCTTTAAAGCAAAATTTCGTTGGAAAAAATAATTAAAATCAAAATTCAATACGGCCGTAACTAAAAAAGAATTCCAAAATCGGCTATTAAAGTTTGATGTGTTATGTATGGAGACAATTATCAAAAAGTTTGAAAGCATTTCATGCAGTGGACTCGGAGTTGTTTGCTTTTAAAGACAGGTACCCAAAAAACACTGTGGAAACCTTGAATCCATAATGGCTGCCAAACCACGTGACCAATAACCAAAGTCAAAGGACAAAAAATGAGGTACATATAGCATTCTAACTTCATGTAAAACTATCAATAGTTTCTGTGGAGAACCTTACAAGATATGATATTTATAGTAAAATTTCGATGAAAAAAAATGATCAAAATCAAAATCCAATATGGCCGCAAAAAAAAAAGATATCCAAAATCGGCTTATAACTTTTGATGTGTTGTATGTTGTATGTATGGAGACAATTATCAGACAGTTTGAAAGCATTTCATGCAGTGGATTCAAAGTTGTTTGCATTTGAAGACAGGTACCCCCAAAACGCTATGAAAACCTTGAATCCAATATGGCTGTCAAACCATGTGACCAAAGACCAAAGTCAAAGAACAAAACATGTCAAGCAGCTCAAGCAGCAGATACATGCAAGGTTTCAACGTACTCGGATAAGCGGTTGCGGAGCAATAGGGCGAAATACATCTTCAAAATATTGTGTTCTTTTAGTTATCTGCCCTTGGCTTTTAGGCCTTCGGCCTTGGGTTTTTGGCGGGCACTAGTACCCAACGGTCAACATACACACACAAAATGTGAACAAAATCGAGCCAGTGGTTATTTTTCTAGCTCTGGTACAAAAATCAGCGGATAATAATAATATAAAATCAAACGCTAACACTGGGACTCTTCAGCCTTTCGGCTTGGTGACTCTTTAACAAGCCGTAACTTCTTTGTCAGTTGGGCTCCAGTCAAACGGATTAGTGCTCTGCGTTCGTCGGGGCCCCGGGTTCCTGTCGCATTGCTGAGATAAAGTGCTAAACCTGTTTCTCACCTCGTTCATATATTCGAATCCTCAAAGGGTTTACCTGTACCAACGCCGTCAAATGTCAAGAACCTCTTGTGAGACATCACCACTACTAAATTGACCTGGGTGTCCCAGGATGTTTTAACCAATTTCCAACTTCGACCATGTTCGAATCCGCATATGCTTTACTTGTACCAACGCCATCAAATGTAATAAACCGCTTGTGAGACATCACCGCACGTGTCTCAGGGTGTTTTTAACCCATGGTTGACTTCGACCATGTTCGAATCCGCATATGGTTTGCTTGTACCAACGCCATCAAATGTAATGAACCGTTTGTGAGACATCACCACACGTGTCCCAGTGTGTTCTTAACCCATGTATGACTTCGACCATGTTCGAATCCCCAAATGGTTTGGTTGTACCAACGCCGTCAAACATAATGAACCGCTTGTGAGACATCACCACACGTGTCCCAGTGTGTTCTTAACCCATGTTTGACTTCGACCATGTTCGAATCCGCATATAGTTTGCTTGTACCAACTCCGTCAAAAGATAGTCACCGTTTGCAGGACATTACCGCTACCAAATTTACGTGTGCCACAGTTTCCCAGAGTGTACTAAACCAATTTTCAACCTCGACCATATTCTAATCCGCAAATGGTTTGCTTTGCACAAAGCTGTCAAAAATAAGGTACCGTAGCAATTGGCAATTGAGAAATGAAGAATCAAGTCTGAAGCGAGTCTGACCACCTGATCCGATTAGTCGCCTCCTGTGACAAGCATAGTTGCCTCTTGAGACAAGCATCGGTTGAAAAAGGCCAATTCTAACTCTGGTCGTCAAGGGCAGTACACATAATATTGAACAAGGCTGTGGAGAACGCGATGGTATCTGCAAAGCCAGTGAATGGGGGTTCATAGTATATTTATGAGGCGCTTCCTTCAGTATTTGTACTTGGGTGAAACAAATTATCAAAATCAAAATCCAATATGGCCGCAACTAAAAAAGATATCCAAAAATGGCTATGCCTTGAAAACCTTGAATCCAATATGGCTGCCAAACCACGTGATCAATGACCAAAGTCAAAGAACAAAAAATATCAAGCAACTGAAGCAGTAGATACATGCAAGGTTTGAAAGTAAACGGACAAACGGTTTTGGAGCAACAGGGCTAAATATATTGTCAAAAAATACTTGTTTTTCAGTTATCTGCCCTTAGCCTTTGGGCCTACGGCCTTGGCTTTTTAGGGGGGACTAGTACCCAACGGTCTACAAACACACACAAAATTTGAACAAAATCGAGCTAGTGGTTATTTTGCTAGGGCAGGTACAAAAATCGGCGGAATAATAAATAATAATAAATAATAATAATAATAAATCGAACGATTACAATAGGGCTCTACAGCCTTTCAGGTTGGAGCCCTAATAATAATAAATCGAACGATTACAATAGGGCTCTACAGACTTTCGGCTTGGAGCCCTAATATTAAATCGAACGATTACAATAGGGCTCTACAGCCTTTCGGCTTGGAGCCCTAATAATAATAATAATAAATCGAACGATTACAACAGGGCTCTACAGCCTTTCGGCTTGGAGCCCTAATAATAATGATAATATATGCATTTGTATAGCTCTATATTGTATCATAAGAAAATAGCTCTCTTGTGGGTTAAACTAGAAAGTCAGTTTGTTATATCCGTCAGTTCGTTATAAGCGTGATCGTTATAAACGTACTTTACTGTAGATCACTGCTCAAAAGGTGCGGGGCCACGGTAGGCCCAGTCGTCTAAGGCGTCGCAATTCGCTGTGCAGAGTACTGTTAAAAGCGGCATAAAACACAACTCACTCACTCACTCACTCAATACCTGCGCCAGAACATGACAGTACAGAAACTGGTAGGGTAGGATATATTGTGACACTCATTTATTAACAGTGTACCTAGTAGTACTAAACTTTCTTAGATGTTTTTTTTACGCAGTAAAATATGTCACGTAGAAGTACCTGTCTGTAACGTAAGTTCGCTTGTTGTGGAATATACTGGACGCACATCTGCAGCTGCTTCTGTAGGCGTGGCACCCTCAAAGATCTGTAGCAAATTCATAATGAATAACATAGGCACAAATGCCGCAGTCATTGCTCTTCAGTTTCAAGCTCGAGGCCTTGGTCAGACCTTTTATAAAAAATGGTCTGTAATTCTGGAAAACAAAGTTCATTTATGGGTTAGAAGTGGTAACAGTAACAACAGTGTCCTAACACGTCTTAACTTACTCAGTCTCTACTTTTGTAGTTGCAACAGTACCGACAGAGCATTAGTGTGCTTTTAAGACCCACCATGTGATTATCTTTGCAAATACATACAAATACACACATACTCTCACGGTTGAAATATACAACTGAATAATTGCATTTGTATGGAATACTGTATGGGACATTCTCGCGATCTCGCATTCTCGCGATCTTGACCTATGGAAACAAGCCTAATATGCCCAAAACGCGAGAACGCAATTTTGACCAAATCTCGCGTTCTTGCGATCTCGCGTTCTCGCATTTGGGCATATTAGGCTTGTTTCCATAGGTCGAGATCGCGAGAATACGAGATCGCGAGAATGTCCCTTACAGTATTCCATACAAATGCAATAATTCAGTTGTATATTTCAACCCATAAAAACATAACTGAAATACATGTATAAATATATTTAACTTGCATTCTCATGTTTTTGGTACATAGTACGTTTTGTCAAAAGTCGACAACGCGAGAATGCGACATTCGTACATGATGCAAAATCTCGCAATCTTGACTTGTCAAATAAGGCCTCAAAAACACGAAATCCCGAGAACGCGAAAATGCGACATTTCATTTTCACGCGTTCTCGCGTTTTAGACGCTGTCCGTGCGCATGCGTAATATCAAAAGGTCATGGCGCATGCGCACGTTACTAGTCATTTGGTCATGTTTCTTTCATGCTCTTCATTCTCCAGATAGCATTTAGCCAAATTATGACTTGAGCTTGAAAATGCTATGTAATTTACATACACAAAGTCTGAGTCCACTCCCGTTGTTACAGTTTCCTATGGGACATGGGAATTAACGTATGGTGTCTTCATCCCGCGAGCTAGATTACCCATAGGATTATTTCCCTTTGATTAATTAGAAATCAATGACAAATTCACAACACATGATTTCAGGTTGATGTGATTGTTAATTCGACTTCCTCGAGCCTCCGCATGGCAAGTGGGCCACTGTCTTCAGCAATATATAAGGCTGCTGGAGACAGCATACAAGAAGAGTGCAGGGTCAGGTATCCCACAGGTGTTAAGACGGAAGAGATAGCAGAGACTTCAGGAGGTCGTCTACCGAGCGGGAGAATATACCACACTTCTCTAGGAGACTAGTCAGAGCAGGTAATTCACCATTAACCATTTCGGGAAATATTTCTAAGAGTGAGAACGAAAAATGGTGAGCCGAATAATTATGATAGTAGACAAGATAATTAACTAAAATCTGAAAGAAGGCTTCATAAGGGGTCTTTGAATTCTTTTTCGAAAACATAGTTTGACTCAGAAAATCCATGTAATTAAAAACAATAATTTTGCTTTAGGTTTTACAAAAAGAACTTTGATCCACTTGACATGCTAGACCTGACACGAAGTGGTATTTTATCAATCTTAAAGCAATGACTGAAAACATAATGTGCAACAAATAAAAACACCTGCCAGGTTGATGCCTGTGACAGGATAGATTCCAAGACAGTCAGTGTGATATGGACATGAGTGATCTCTCTTCACCAAAAGACTGACTAAATATCCTCTAAAATGTATGGAATACTGTAAGGGACATTCTGACTGACAGTGTAGCCCCGAATGGCTGCAATACTGCTGATGCGGCTTGCAATATGATGCAATATTACTCACTCACTGACAGTGATAGTTTTGTTTCCAGCTTTCGGACACATTAATGTTTTCACTATCATTGGACATTCATGTACACAATTCTTTTGTTAAATTATAATGAGCATGTTGGGGTTTTTAATATAAAATACATAGGAAACTGTTACAACGAGAGATGCCTCAGACTTTGTGTATGTAAATTACATAGCATTTTTAAGCTCAAGTCATAATTTGGCTAAATGCTACTTGGAGAATGGGATGCATCATAAGGACATGGAGTGGGAAGATGTCAAATGTTGGCAGCCAGACCTGCACTCACTGGAGATGCATCATAAGGATATGGAGTGGAAAGATTTCAAATGTTGGCAGCCAGACCTGCACTCACTGGAGATGCATCATACGGATTTGGAGTGGGAAGATTTCAAATTTTGGCAGCCAGACCTGCACTCACTGGAGATGCATCATAAGGAAATGGAGTAGGAAGATTTAAAATGTTGGCAGCCAGAACTGCACTCACTGGAGATGCATCATAAGGACATGGAGTGGGAAGATTTCAAATATTGGCAGCCAGACATGCACTCACTGGAGATGCATCATAATGACATAGAGCGGGAAGATTTAAAATGTTGGCAGCCAGAACTGCACTCACTGGAGATGCATCATAAGGATGTGGAGTGGGAAGATTTCAAATGTTGGCAGGCAGACCTGCACTCACTGGAGATGCATCATAAGGATGTGGAGTGGGAAGATTTCAAATGTTGGCAGCCAGACCTGCACTCACTGGAGATGCATCATAAGGACATGGAGTGGGAAGATTTCAAATGTTGGCAACCAGACCTGGCCCCGAGGTTATAAAACTTCCCTGAGTACGATTTCATGCTCAAATCCGGTTTCGTGCTCAACTCAAAACTCAGACTCAATAAACGGAGGTTATAAATAATCTGAGTACGTTTTCGTGCTCAACTTGAGCATGAAATCCGTACGATCTCAAGTACGCTTTGGACCGTGCTCAACGCTGAGTTCGACAACAACAATGGCAGCTCACCCGCGACAGACGCGACAAGCGAGGCGGAACACCCGTGTTCCGAGAGTCTTTCGAGATCGTTCTAACCCGCTGGAAGATTTAGATGTGGAAGAAGTTTTTGACCGTTACAGATTTAGGCCAAATACTATAATATATTTACTTGGTCTACTCGATCTGACCAGAGAGACAGCTCGTAACTGTGCGGTTCCACCACTGTTACAGTTGCTGGTATGCCTTCGCTTTTTGGCGACAGGCGCTATGCATCTGCTGGTTGGGGACAGCCTAAACATTTCTCGATCTACAGCCGGCAGATGCATACGTGCAGTTTCGTTGCAAATCTCCAAACTGTCAGGAAGGTTTATTAAATTCCCAGTTGGAGGAGACGCGGTACGAGCGAAGGAGGCATTCGGCAACATTGCAGGTACGTACATGGGATTTTCCCAATGTAAACACAAATAAATAATTTCATTGGTGTGATTCACGTCAGTGCCATTTTGATTGGTCAGTAAAAAGAAAATGGGTCAGGATCGAGGTCATGTATATAAATAAAATAAAATTATAATCAAGCGATAGATCTTAGGATGGGCTGTAAATGAAACTAGTAAACATTGCCCAGTGCAGTATGCTATCTATTGTGACACCATGACACGTTTTACTTACAGGATTCCCTAACGTAGTAGGGTGCATTGATGGAACGTTCATCCGGATACAGCGGCCTACCACGAACGAGGGAGACTTTGTGAACCGGAAAGGTTACCATTCCCTGAATGTACAGGTAAATAGGCATAATTGTACTCCATAACTATTCGTTATAATGTATGTGTTGGTTTAGGGGTGGGGAGATGTATGACTTTTGTAATTCTTATGTATGTATTGTAAATTGGAGTTTAAATTTCTGATTTGCTATCCCACAGATGTGCTGTGATGCAAATTTCTGCATCACAAGTTGCAACGCCAGCTGGCCGGGATCGGTGCATGACAGCCGCATTTTCCGGACGTCAGCACTGTGCAGGCAATTTGAGAATGGTAAGACACGTTTTTAGAACAATTTGGTGAAAGTATTCTGCAAGTGAACAAGCATATAGTTTATCCGGTTACAAATAATATAAAATCATTTCTGTAATAGTAATTATAAGTTAAGATGTAAATTTAAATCAATATGCAGACATTTTTGTATGACATCTCTTTGAATTGAAGTGACATACAAAGGGCAATTGCTTTGGAACCCTGGATAGACATGGCATAAAATCTCAGAATCTCCATACCCATTTTAATTAATAAATTAGATTGGATTCATATCCTCATTTTCATTTATTTTTTTCTCACAAGTTATTTTTTAACTAAACAATTCCATTAATTAGGATGAATGTATTTGTTCCTGGGAAAAGGTTTATTTCATTCATCATGTTCAAGATAAATATTGAAATATTTCAATTCTTAATGAGACAAATTTTATTCATACATTATATGTACTTTTTACCAGTATTCAAATCATAAAACAATCTGTTATTCTTTCAATAATATATAACCTTATTTTATTATGTTTAAGGACAGTACAAAGGTTTTCTGCTGGGGGACTCTGGCTACCCATGTCGTTGGTTCCTCCTGACGCCACTACTGAACCCCACCAACCGTGCAGAGGAACGCTACAATGGGTCATTGTGCAGGACAAGAGTGCTCATTGAACAGACCTTTGGTGTCCTGAAACGGCGGTTTCAGTGCCTGCACAATGATCTCAGCGCGACCCAAAGACAGGCTGTGACCTATGTTGTTGCATGTGTTGTGTTGCATAATTTGGGTATTGAAAGGGGGGATATTATAAATCATGATGAAAATCTAATGCCTCCATCTTCAAATGTGAATAATTATGTGCCACCGGTTACAGGTCAAAATGATGGAGCTGATGTGAGACGGCACATTATTCAAACATTTTTTAGTCGATAAGCATAGGAACATTTATTCACTACAATTTAATCTATCTGAATTTGTGATTTCAAATGTATATCATCTTAATTAATGATTGTGTGAGTGGTATTGCTCAGTAAGTCAGATATGTCATGACAGTTAGACTTGAATACATAATCAATTTGGTCATTCAATGTTTTATTCAGATACAAGCAGTGCACAAAATGGAACAATATTTAATTTGTATAGTCTGGCCATGCCAACAGTGCAGATTTATTTGTTGTTTAACTCCTTACTCAGCAATATTCCAGCTATATGACGGAGGACTGTAAAGTAATTGTGTCTGGACCAGACAATCCAGTGATTGATATCATGAGCATCGATCCACGCAATTGGGATCGATGACATGTATCAACCAAGTCAGTGAGTCTGACCACCCGATCCCGTTTGCCGCCTTTTACGGCAAGTAAAGTGGGAAAATGTTATAATATAAAGCACATACTACGGTAGAAACTACCATTTTTTGTCCACAGGTCCTTACAATGATAACATATAGCAAAAACCTGAAAAATGGCAAATGTCTACAAGTTCTTTCATACATTGACAAGTGGACACTTTGGCACGAACTGCAGGACTAGTTCAAATTTCTAACATTGCACATTGTGACAGAGCAATTCAATTCATATTTGTTTCTTAATTTCTAAATTTGAACAAGATAAAGAGTTAGCTGGAATAAAATGTTGTCATTTGTTGTGAGTAAAGATACAGAACTTATGCATGTTAGGATATTCATAATAGTCTGTATGAAGGACAAATATCTTGACCTAATGTTAGTATCAGCTGGACAAATGAAAAGTGCATGGTATTCATCATCTAGGTCTACACAAATTGCATAAACTATAAGTAAAGTCATTATCACTAGACATTCTATATTTATGTCTTTCTGTTGGCACATCATACTTGCATAAATGCTGAATTATCATCACAATGTTAGAGTTGCATGCTTTAAAATGATCTTACTTAAGAGCACATAACAAAAAAATCAGGATTGTTGGAGCAATTGCATATGTAATGAATAGTGATAAAACAATACAGACAGAGTTGATATTGTGTAACAATATTTCTTTGAATTATCATTAACTATTGTATCTGTCAAATTCAACTGATCATGTCCAAGCAAATCAGTAAATGTTGTTGTCATTCATATTGCATTTCTACATAACTCTCTTTAGTAATTTTGATAATAATTATTCTTCAGTTGGACATGATTCGACAAGAGAAACACCAAATTCCGCATTCATTTTTAGTTGGTAGTAGACTGATTTCCTCTGCAGCATTTGAATTTCAATGTCTAATTTCTTTTGATTTTTTTCTAACACTTCAATTTCCAGTTTCAGCTTCCTTTGTTCAAGTTTGATCCTTTCCGTGTCCTGTATCGTGTTGTCATGTGTTGCCTCAGCTTGTGTTCTTTTTCGTTTGCGGACGGTCTTTTTTTTTGTAAATATAACGAGACTGACTTGTCACATTTTAGAAACATGAATTGTGTACTCTGCGTCATCTTTGGAGTATAGTATTGTTGATAGCATTATGGGTGTAAGTGTGACTGAAATATAATTCTAATATATTTCCTGTCTCTTAGTATTTTCAGCTTGTGACAAGACAGTGAATGTATTGTTTGGGGTAATACATGTATTAGCATCTTGCTATGAGTGTTTTCATTTCTATGCTTTCAGTAAATCATACAAAGGTCATAGTTTATTAGTAGTAGTATTAGTAGTAGTATTATACTAGTATTATACTAGTATTATAGACGGATTATGCAAACATAAATTTGATCTGTAACTGCAATCTTGAATATACTGAAATAAACTCTGAAAATGTTCATTATTTAGTAGAGTAATATGTTCTACAGATATTACTCAGATCCTTCTGATGTACCTTCTGCTGGGTTGCCTTGCTCATCAATGTGATGTGCTTCACCTTGCAGACCTGTAAATAAGGGGATACAATTTTTAACATTGAACAAATGCAAAAAATTATTGTATCATTTTCTGACATTTATATATTTAAGCATTCAATAAAGTCACAAAATAAAGTTATACTTTAATGTTATTAATTGAGAATATTTACATTGATTGTATACAATGTGTCAGCTCAGACAATAATGTTATGACAGGAATAGCAAACTATGCTCTACAATACATGTTGGAAATTTTGGTATTATGTTCCAGACATGACCTATATAAGGGAGACAACCCACAGACTGAGAGTAATTAGATATATGTCCCATGTTATAGATGTGATTATGTATAATAATACATGTTAATAGTATTCAGACATATGATATGTATTACCTTCTGGTGAAGCGGCAGCTACATCGCCATCATGAATGACTGAAGTGAACAGAATATTAAAATACAGTAATGCAGCTATTTTAATAATTTTCATGTTAGAATTGACAAAAACAATTGCATTTGTGACTGAAATTGTGATGAGTGCTTAATTTGATTATCTGACAAATATTAATCATTATTTGAATGATTTTGTACCAGTGCAATTCACAACAAATGTATTCATTACTTTGAGCACAGGCATAAAAAAGTTGTTGTCTGAAATTTTTGTTGTTGTTTCCTTTGTCTTTTGACAGTACTTGATTTGTTTGTACTATATTTGATAAGTATTTTTGTCATCCAAATACATTGTCCCAGGTGATAGGTCTCACCATAACCAACATTAATGAGAAATAGTTGGCTTTAAAATTTACATTAATCTTTTACATATTGAACTGCCCATACCATCAGTGTCAATGCCATGTTCTAGGCCATGGATACCTGGCCTCCCCTCCAAAGACTGACAAAGGACCTCGTCCGCGTTGGACAGTGCTGGGAGTGGAGGCCCTCCTCCAGTTGTGGCCATTGACCTTTTGAGGCCGTCGATCTTGCTTTTAGCTACAATACAAACTTGCAGTTTAGTTCAGTAACAATAACATATATATTGAAATATTAAATTTGGGTTTCATTGACATGTGTTCATGTGTTATTGAGGGATAAACATGTGTTTCATCAATTATATAATAACCATTTAATACATTATGATGGAGTAACAATGTTGACACAATATGCCTCTTAGTATTTTTCTAATATAAAAGAGTACCTCTTTGTTTCAAATTGAAGTACTTCTTCTTCACTTCAATAGCCTCCCTTTTGGCATTGATGTGTCTTCTGAAAGTATATAAAAGAAGAGATATAATTTGAAAATTAATATACAGAACATGTTTTCTTCTTCACAGTCAAGGAATTGTGGAGGGGAAAGCCCATGAAAATACATGTCTCCATTTAGATTACCGGATATACAATAAAGTTAATGCAACGAAGAATCACATTTTCGACTGTTTACTTATGCAAATATGGGCACCAAATTTCAACGCATGATCGAATACAGGACTCGTTGCGATATGTCACGCCTACGCCTGAGAACTTTATAACTTAATTACCCCAACCTCCACTCGAAATTGGTTTGAAAAGAATCCACTAAAACTGTTTGGAGGATGTCCCTTGACCTTGACCCTAACTAGATCGTATGAATATTGAGTATGCATAATCCAAAAAAGGAAGTAGTGTAACCCACATAATTCTCACGTATCCCACCACAAATAGTGGAAAGCGAAGACACAGCCCCCCCCCCCCCTTACTTTTTTACTCGCTTATGACAGGTATTCTTTGTTTTACCGAACACAGTAAAAAAATCAGCATCGATCAATCCTGTGTCATAAAAGTTGAATGAACACTTTGCGCAAGACGTATTTATAACTTAACTACCGCGATGATATAGCGTACCATGCTGCAAATGATATTAAACAACAATAACATATGAACAACTTACGTGTTGAGGATGTCCGTGATGCTTTGCCATCCATCGGTCCGCTGTCGATGGATGGACTTCACACCGCTTCCCTTTATTTCGCCGAACAACAGTTGCTCTCGCTGAACGACTTCCTGGATGAGACAAACCTCCTCCGCTTCTGACCACCCCTTACCCCGCCTTCTCGATTCGGTCACGCCCTCCTTTGCCATTGTAAATAAGCAGACGACAACATCCGCGTTGTTTTCTTACCATTCTTGACGGAAGAGTTCCAAATTGCCGCTTATATCATAAACAAAGAGTCCTTTGAGCATGCTCGAGCCGAGCGTGAGTTGTTCTCAGCTGAGTACAGACTCAAGATGTTTTATAACCTCTGCTTGAGTACAAATCTCAACTGAGTACGAACTTGAGCATGAGCATGTATTTGAGCACGAAACTGAGTTGAGCACGACATTTTTTTTATAACCTCGGGCCCTGCACTCACTGGAGATGCATCATATGGATATGGAGTGGGGAAGATTTCAAATGTTAGTAGCCAGGCCTGCACTCACTGGAGATGCATCATAAGGATATGGAGTGGAAAGGTTTCAAATGTTGGCAGCCAGACCTGCACTCACTGGAGATGCATCATAAGGATGTGGAGTGGGAAGATTTCAAATGTTGGCAGCCACACCTGCACTACCTGGAGATGCATCATAAGGATGTGGAGTGGGAAGATTTCAAATGTTGGCAGCCAGACCTGCACTCACTGGAGATGCATCATAAGAATATGGAGTGGGAAGATTTCAAATGTTGGCAGCCAGACCTGCCCTCACTGGAGATGCATCATAAGGATATGGAGTGGGAAGATTTCAAATGTTGGCAGCCAGACCTGCACTCACTGGAGATGCATCATAAGGATATGGAGTGGGAAGATTTCAAATGTTGGCAGCCAGACCTGCCCTCACTGGAGATGCATCATAAGGATATGGAGTGGGAAGATTTCAAATGTTGGCAGGCAGACCTGCACTCACTGGAGATGCATCATAAGGATATGGAGTGGGAAGATTTCAAATGTTGGCAGCCAGACCTGCACTCACTGGAGATGCATCATAAGGATATGGAGTGGGAAGATTTCAAATGTTGGAAGCCAGACCTGCACTCATTGGAGATGCATCATAAGGATATGGAGTGGGAAGCTTTCAAATGTTGGAAGCCAGACCTGCATTCACTGGAGATGCATCATAAGGATATGGAGTGGGGAAGATTTCAAATGTTAGTAGCCAGGCCTGCACTCACTGGAGATGCATCATAAGGATATGGAGTGGAAAGGTTTCAAATGTTGGCAGCCAGACCTGCACTCACTGGAGATGCATCATAATGACATAGAGTGGGAAGATTTCAAATGTTGGCAGCCACACCTGCACTCACTGGAGATACATCATAAGGATATGGAGTGGGAAGATTTCAAATGTTGGCAGCCAGAACTGCACTCACTGGAGATGCATCATAAGGATATGGAGTTGGAAGATTTCAAATGTTGGCAGCCAGACCTGCACTCACTGGAGATGCATCATAAGGACAGGGAGTGGGAAGATTTCAAATGGTAGTAGCCAGACCTGCACTCACTGGAGATTCATCAGAAAGATATGGAGTGGGAAGATTTCAAATGTTGGCAGCCAGACCTGCACTCACTGGGGATGCATCATAAGGACATGGAGTGGGAAGATTTCAAATGTTGGCAACCAGACATGCACTCACTGGAGATGCATCGTAATGACAAAGAGCGGGAAGATTTCAAATGTTTCCAGCCAGACCTGCACTCACTGGAGATTCATCATAAGGATATGGAGTGGGAAGATTTCAAATGTTGGTAGCCAGACCTGCACTCATTGGAGATGCATCATAAGGATATGGAGTTGGAAGATTTCAAATGTTGGCAGCCAGACCTGCACTCACTGGAGATGCATCATAAGGACAGGGAGTGGGAAGATTTCAAATGTTAGTAGCCAGACCTGCACTCACTGGAGATTCATCAGAAAGATATGGAGTGGGAAGATTTCAAATGTTGGCAGCCAGACCTGCACTCACTGGGGATGCATCATAAGGACATGGAGTGGGAAGATTTCAAATATTGGCAACCAGACATGCACTCACTGGAGATGCATCATAATGACAAAGAGCGGGAAGATTTCAAATGGTTGCAGCCAGACCTGCACTCACTGGAGATTCATCATAAGGATATGGAGTGGGAAGATTTCAAATGTTGGTAGCCAGACCTGCACTCACTGGAGATTCATCAGAAGGATATGGAGTGGGAAGATTTCAAATGTTAGTAGCCAGACCTGCACTCACTGGAGATGCATCATAAGGATATGGAGTGGGAAGATTTCAAATGTTAGTAGCCAGGCCTGCACTCACTGGAGATGCATCATAAGGATATGGAGTGGAAAGGTTTCAAATGTTGGCAGCCAGACCTGCACTCACTGGAGATGCATCATAATGACATAGAGTGGGAAGATTTCAAATGTTGGCAGCCAGACCTGCACTCACTGGAGATGCATCATAAGGGCATGGAGTGGGAAGATTTCAAATGTTGGCAACCAGACCTGCACTCACTGGAGATGCATCATAATGACATAGAGCGGGAAGATTTCAAATGTTGGAAGCCAGACCTGCACTCATTGGAGATGCATCATAAGGATATGGAGTGGGAAGATTTCAAATGTTGGAAGCCAGACCTGCATTCACTGGAGATGCATCATAAGGATATGGAGTGGAAAGGTTTCAAATGTTGGCAGCCAGACCTGCACTCACCGGAGATGCATCATAAGGATATGGAGTGGGAAGATTTCAAATGTTGGCAGCCAGACCTGCACTCCCTGGAGATGCATCATAAGGATATGGAGTGGGAAGATTTCAAATGTTGGCAGCAGACCTGCACTCACTGGAGATGCATCATAAGGATATGGAGTGGGAAGATTTCAAATGTTGGAAGCCAGGCCTGCACTCACTGGAGATGCATCATAAGGATATGGAGTGGAAAGGTTTCAAATGTTGGCAGCCAGACCTGCACTCACTGGAGATGCATCATAATGACATAGAGCGGGAAGATTTCAAATGTTGGCAGCCAGACCTGCACTCACTGGAGATGTATCATAAGGATATGGAGTGGGAAGATTTCAAATGTTAGTAGCCAGGCCTGCACTCACTGGAGATGCATCATAAGGATATGGAGTGGAAAGGTTTCAAATGTTGGCAGCCAGACCTGCACTCACTGGAGATGCATCATAATGACATAGAGTGGGAAGATTTCAAATGTTGGCAGCCAGACCTGCACTCACTGGAGATGCATCATAAGGGCATGGAGTGGGAAGATTTCAAATGTTGGCAGCCAGACCTGCACTCACTGGAGATGCATCATAATGACATAGAGCGGGAAGATTTCAAATGTTGGCAGCCAGACCTGCACTCACTGGAGATGCATCATAAGGATATGGAGTGGGAAGATTTCAAATGTTGGAAGCCAGACCTGCACTCACTGGAGATGCATCATAAGGATGTGGAGTGGGAAGATTTCAAATGTTGGCAGGCAGACCTGCACTCACTGGAGATGCATCATAAGGATATGGAGTGGGAAGATTTCAAATGTTGGCAGCCAGACCTGCACTCACTGGAGATGCATCATAAGGATATGGAGTGGGAAGATTTCAAATGTTGGAAGCCAGACCTGCACTCATTGGAGATGCATCATAAGGATATGGAGTGGGCAGATTTCAAATGTTGGAAGCCAGACCTGCATTCACTGGAGATGCATCATAAGGATATGGAGTGGGGAAGATTTCAAATGTTAGTAGCCAGGCCTGCACTCACTGGAGATGCATCATAAGGATATGGAGTGGAAAGGTTTCAAATGTTGGCAGCCAGACCTGCACTCACTGGAGATGCATCATAATGACATAGAGTGGGAAGATTTCAAATGTTGGCAGCCAGACCTGCACTCACTGGAGATATATCATAAGGATATGGAGTGGGAAGATTTCAAATGTTGGAAGCCAGACCTGCACTCACTGGAGATGCATCATAAGGATATGGAGTGGGAAGATTTCAAATGTTGGAAGCCAGACCTGCACTCACTGGAGATGCATCATAAGGATATGGAGTGGGAAGATTTCAAATGTTGGCAGCCAGACCTGCACTCACTGGAGATGCATCATAAGGACAGGGAGTGGGAAGATTTCAAATGTTAGTAGCCAGACCTGCACTCACTGGAGATTCATCAGAAAGATATGGAGTGGGAAGATTTCAAATGTTGGCAGCCAGACCTGCACTCACTGGAGATGCATCATAAGGACATGGAGTGGGAAGATTTCAAATATTGGCAACCAGACATGCACTCACTGGAGATGCATCATAATGACAAAGAGCGGGAAGATTTCAAATGGTTGCAGCCAGACCTGCACTCACTGGAGATTCATCATAAGGATATGGAGTGGGAAGATTTCAAATGTTGGTAGCCAGACCTGCACTCACTGGAGATTCATCAGAAGGATATGGAGTGGGAAGATTTCAAATGTTAGTAGCCAGACCTGCACTCACTGGAGATGCATCATAAGGATATGGAGTGGGAAGATTTCAAATGTTAGTAGCCAGGCCTGCACTCACTGGAGATGCATCATAAGGATATGGAGTGGAAAGGTTTCAAATGTTGGCAGCCAGACCTGCACTCACTGGAGATGCATCATAATGACATAGAGTGGGAAGATTTCAAATGTTGGCAGCCAGACCTGCACTCACTGGAGATGCATCATAAGGGCATGGAGTGGGAAGATTTCAAATGTTGGCAACCAGACCTGCACTCACTGGAGATGCATCATAATGACATAGAGCGGGAAGATTTCAAATGTTGGCAGCCAGACCTGCACTCACTGGAGATGCATCATAAGGATATGGAGTGGGAAGATTTCAAATGTTAGTAGCCAGGCCTGCACTCACTGGAGATGCATCATAAGGATATGGAGTGGAAAGGTTTCAAATGTTGGCAGCCAGACCTGCACTCACTGGAGATGCATCATAATGACATAGAGTGGGAAGATTTCAAATGTTGGAAGCCAGACCTGCACTCACTGGAGATGCATCATAAGGGCATGGAGTGGGAAGATTTCAAATGTTGGCAGCCAGACCTGCACTCACTGGAGATGCATCATAAGGATATGGAGTGGGAAGATTTCAAATGTTGGAAGCCAGGCCTGCACTCACTGGAGATGCATCATAAGGATGTGGAGTGGGAAGATTTCAAATGTTGGCAGGCAGACCTGCACTCACTGGAGATGCATCATAAGGATATGGAGTGGGAAGATTTCAAATGTTGGCAGCCAGACCTGCACTCACTGGAGATGCATCATAAGGATATGGAGTGGGAAGATTTCAAATGTTGGAAGCCAGACCTGCATTCACTGGAGATGCATCATAAGGATATGGAGTGGAAAGGTTTCAAATGTTGGCAGCCAGACCTGCACTCACTGGAGATGCATCATAAGGATATGGAGTGGGAAGATTTCAAATGTTGGCAGCCAGACCTGCCCTCACTGGAG